CCCGGTCTAGAAAGCAATGGATTTCTTGCTTCTGCCACAAATTTCCCCAGCTGTAAGCCTTCCAACCTTCTAAATATTCCTTTATATGTGGTTCAGAGTTCTGGAACCATCCCCTGAGCCTGCTTGGTCAGGTATTCTGTGTTGTTGCTGGCGGAGCTCTTTACTACACTTCCACTTGATCCGCCATCTTGTTTGTTCTCTCCCCCATCTTCTTTTGATGTTTTCTACATTATTTAATAATTCATCCATGTTGTTGTTAAGTGCTGTTGAGTCAGTTCTGACCCATAGATACCCTGTATAGGGATTCCAAGGAGTGACTGGTGAGCTTGAACTGCAGACCTTGCAGTTTAAACCAACGTTGCAGCCCAGCACATTAATCCACAGCGCCACACCAGGTGGTGGTGGTGTGCCATAGAGTCGGTTCTGACTCATAGCGACCCCTGCATAAGGTTTCCAAGGCTGTAAATCTTTACGGGAGCAGAACGCCTAATTTTTCTCCAGCAGAACGGCTGGTAGTTAGAACTGCTGACCTTGAGGTTAGCAGCCTGACTTGTAATCATTGCTTGAATTTTTTCTTGTGCTTTCAGGTTGAGAAATGCTGAGCATGTTCTTCCCTTTTGATTTCCTAACTTCAGGTCTTTGTGCATTATGCTTTGTCTTCTCGAACTGCCCTTTGAAATCTTCTGTTCAGCTCTTTTACTTCCTCATTTCTTCCATTTGCTTTAGCTTTTCTATGCTCAAGAGCAAGTTTCAAAAGTTTTGTTCAGTTCTTTTACTTCATTTCTTCCATTCCCTTTCATTTCTCTATGCTCAAGAGTAAGTTTCAGAGTTTCTTCTGACATCCACTTTGGTCTTTTCTTTCTTTCCTGTCTTTTAATGACCTTTGGCTTTCTTCCTATATGATGTTCTTGATGTCATTCCACAACATTTCTGATCATTGGTCATTAGTGTAAAATGCTTCAAATCTGTTCTTCATATGATTTTTAAATTCAGGTGAGATATATATTAAAGGTCATATTTTGGCTCTCGTGAACTTGCTTTAAATTTCTTCAGCTTCTGCTTGAAGTGCATGAACAATTGTTGGTCTGTTTCAGTCTGTCCCTAGCCTTATTTTCGTCCCTCTCTTACCAAAGATGTAGACAATTTGATTCCTGTGTAGTCCATCTGGTAATATCCATGTGTAAGTCACCTTTTATGTTGCTGAAAAAAGTTACCTGGAGTGAATAAGTCATTGGCCTTGTAAAATTCTATCATGTGACCTCTACTATCATTTCTGTCACCAAGGCCCTATTTTCCAACTATTGATATTGATCTATAATTTTCTTTTTTAGTGATGTGTGTGCTTGGTTTTAGTATAAGTATTACACTCACTTCATAAAATTAATTCAGGAGTTTTCCATATTTTTGTATGTTCTGGAATAGTTTTGAGTAGAATTTTTGTCAATTTTCTGAATGTTTGATATAATTCACTAGTAAAGTCCTCTGTGACCAGACTTTTTTTTTGTTTAAAGTTTTTTAATGACCTGATCAATTTCTTCTTTTTATTATAGGTCTGTTCACGTTTTCTACTTCTGTCTATTAGTATAGGTTGTTGCTATTGTCAAGTGCCATTGAGTCGGTTCCAGTAGTTTTAGGGGTTCATACACCCTCCATAGCTCCAGAAAGTCTAACGTCCACAAGAATTTGAAATTCTGCTCTGCGTTTTCCCTGTTTAGACCAGAACTTTATGCTTTTTTTGTATGTCATAAATTAAAAAAAATGTAGACTCACAGAATGTTGGCCCTAGAAGGTACAGTAACCCATTACCTAGAAGGTAATGTAACCCATGCAATATGAGATGCAGGAATGATTACATATATCTTTTTGTGCTGATATCTCACCCCTTTACCAAGACTTGGTAAAAGAGTGCTCAGTCCGGCAAAAACAACCTAAGAGAGAACTGAATACCTTTGTTCCTCTAATAAATGTTTATTTTTAAAAAAGGTGTTATATGCCATGTACTATGTTGTTGTTAAGTGCCACTGAGTTGATTTCAACTCACAGTGACCCATGTTATTGAGCAGAATTGACTCATACAGTTTTTTAGGTTGTAATCGTATGGAAACAGATTGCCACATCTTTCTCTTGTGGAGCCCTCAGTGATTTTGAACTGCTGACTTTTCATTTAGTAACTGAGCATTTAATCATTGTGCTACTAGGGCTCCTTTGTGATACGTTATGCATCTAAAAAAACAATTCCTATTCTGGCAGATCAAAGCTGACTAACTTGAAAACAAGTGTCCAGGAACTTATTTTATGCTTCTTGTATACTAATTTGTTGATATGATGCCTAGCATTTTCAGTTGCATGATTAGTGTAAGTTAATATTTGGCTTTCTTATAGATGGTTTCTGAACTAATTTATGGGACATATTTGAAATCAGATACAAGTAGCTTTGGGAGAAAAGGAGGTATAGGTTAAAAGAAGTCTGTGTGACTTTGATAATTATTTCAGTAAATACTAACTTATATCCACCCTGTTTCACATCTATAAACTCACATCGACACAGTTCATAAAATGTAGGGATACCTTATAAACAGAATGCACAAATTTTATTCAGTTTTTCATAGGATTTTATTTTCTCCCCTCAACCATAATAATACGATATCCAAATTTAGTCTTAACTGGAGGGTCTGTAAACACAGGTTTATCCAGTCCACTTATAGGTAAGGCAAATGCTGCTTCTTGAAATGGTCCTACCATGGACCCTCTGGTCATCCAACCCAAGTCGCCCTGAAAAATCCAAAAGATATGTGATGTAGAGTGGCTTGAAAAAGGGACAATTCAATTGCACTTTGGGAGAATTTTCCAATATGAATGCTAAGGTTTATTCATCTGGGCTATAAAGGAATAGGTTCAACAACTACAAACAGGCAAAAGAGGTTGAACCCTAGGCTGAGCACATAGGCATTCACAATACTACTGAACTTTTAAGTTATTTATACAAGTTTGATCATGTCTAGGTTAAGACACGTTTGTTGTTGTTAAGTGTCATCGAGTTGGTTTAGGGTTTAGTGAGCCTGTATAGGGTCTCTGAGGAGCCACTGGTGGATCTGAACTGCTGACCTTGTGGTTCAAATCGACATTGCAGTTGAGTGCTTACCCTTCAGTGCCACACCAGGACTCCTAGATACATGTAGCCCTTAATTAATTCTTGAAAAGTAGAACATTTCTGATTTTAGATCTTTAAACCAAGATATGGCTAAAATTAATGGCAAAACATAGAAATAAACTCTAATCTCTGTGAGAGAGAAATACATTTAAATGATAAGAGCACCATACCCCTTGCCTGGCTTTATCTTCACTATATTGTGCAGCTACTTCATTGAATTTCATTCCGGACTTTAATTTTTCCATGGCTTCCAAAATTCTGCTGTGTTTTTCACATAGAATATGTCTGACCTACAAAGAAAAAGCACATACACATAATACTGTGTTGAGACCCAAAGATTATTTTCCTCTCAGCCCTGAAATGAAGTCTGGATGAACTCACTAATGAAAAACATATTAGCTAAAAGCAAATGAAAATCCTAGAAGTTTGCACAGATAGGTGACGATCAAAGCCCATTTTCCCAAACAAAATAATATCCCAGAACCCCCATTTAGTTGGAAAATGGGCATCTCACTGTGAGAAGCTCTCATCTTTTACCATGTATCTCAATGCTAACAGAAAGAGGAAACAGACGACAATGGCAAGAACTTGAGTCCTGGAGTCAAATCCCAATTCTGTTGGGTAAATATCTAAATCTCTAAGTATCTCCCCAATGGAAAGACAACAGCATCTGTGTTCTCACAGGGTTGTAAAGATTGAGATAATGTCACTAGCAATTATTTCATCTAAGAATGACAAGAAATAACCACACAAAGAAAATTTTTTTTAAGACTTCTGGTATTATGGCAGACGAGGCAGATGCACTACATGGACCACCTACAACAAAGATATAAGAGACCACCCATTTGACCTAGCCTTGATGGCTTGATAATCAGAACTCGACTAGAGGAAGATAAAAAAAAAAAACAAAAAACAATTTTTGATAAAGGAAACTAAGGTAAATTACTACAATTTGATGAACTTGAGCTACACTCATGGAGGTAGTAACTCTAAATATCAACAGAGAGGGAAAGAGTCTTCATATCAATTATCAATGCTTATCCCCTCTGTACACAGGGTAGATAGGGATGGGCAACTTAGACACTGGCTACCTAAAATGAGGGGACGATAAAGGTACGACGTGACTGGCTTACAAGGTTTCAAGGGGAGTTCAGTTTAATAGTGTATGGGAAAAAAAGAGACCCCACTGAATAGTTTTCATCTTGTCTAGATGGGTCTGGTTAAAAGAGACAGAGATAAGATTCTTATGATTCAATGTTGTTGTTGTTGTTGTTAAGTGCCGTCGAGTCGGTTCCGACCCATAGCGACCCTGTACAGGGTTTCTGAGGGTGTAAATCTTTACAGGAGTAGAAAGTCTCATCTTTCTCCCGCGGAGCGGCTGGTAGTTTCGAACCCCTGACCTTAAGGTTCGCAGCCCGATTCGTAACCACTATGCTACCAGAGATAGTGAGTAATTATTATCATCACTAATCGCAATTGTCATAATTGTAAAGGTAGAAGTTTTATAACAAAAACGGGGGAGTAGTTAATCTTTTTTTTTTAATGTTTTATTATGAATTATGTGATAGTTTACATGGGAGAACATTAGTTTTACATTCATCCTATCGTATATCGTTTCATTGCCATGGTTACAATCCCTTCCATGCATCATCAACCAACCAAAGGGTATATACTACAAGTCTGCCCACCGGTCGTCAGCACATAGCCCCTCTCCCTGTGTCTAAAGTCCCCAACTGCTCCATCTCTCCACGTCATCGTCTCTGCCTCCATCTCAGGCATCACTGCTTCTCTGGGTAGGGTCCCACTCTCTGCTCTTCTCCCTTGATGGACCCAGGGACCTCTGCTCCTTGCTACAAAATGTCTACCTTTAAATTTCCAACCCTCACAAGAAGTCCTGATAACAATTATTCACTATTGTATCACAAGAGGGGAGTAGTTAATCTTACAGTCCAGAAACAGAGGACCCTAGGACCATCAAGGGAGAAGAGCACAAGTGGAATGTGAGACCTTATCCAGATAGGCAGCGATATCAGAGATGGAGGCAGAGATGGGGACATGGAGAGAGGAAGCAGTTGAGGACTCAAGATTCATGGGAAGAGAGGGACTAAGAGATGGTGGACAAGAGAATGTGCCCTTTGGTGGTGTAAATTATTACATATGCCTGAAAGTTTGAAAAAAAAAAAAAAGAGCTAAAGTGAACAGAGAGAAATATTGTTATCTGATGGTACATGGAGGGGATTATAATCATTGTAAAGAAACAAGGTATATGATTTGTTGAATGTAAAATGGATGATCAGTCCTGTAAATCCACAATAAAAAATCTTAAAAAAAAAAAAAAGAAAAAAAAAGATACAAGAGACCAAAAAAAGACTCATATGAAAATCCTGGAACCCTAAACTTCAGAAGAAAGGTTAGAAAAATGGATTGAGTGCCTGATGGGAGAAGCTGAGCAGGGACAGCAAGAGAGGGAGAATGACTAGTAAACTGCTGACCAGACACGGCACAACTATCTTGAACCTTTGCAAGTAGTTTTGGTAACAGAAGGTGGCCTGGCAGACACAGGCAACTAAAAGGTCTGATTCCTTCTTTTGCCCCATGCTCCCTAGTGACCAGAGGTGTAGCCAGCTCCCACCCTCATCTATTCCCAGCACAGCCCCTACTCCCAGGAAGTTCAGACCACATGGTTGGGAGTTATGGCAGTGTGAAGTGGGGGTCCAGCTGCACCGCTTTGGTGCCTGGAATCAAGTGGGCTCAGCTCCCCACCTACAGAACCCGAAGAGCCACCAGACCAGCATTTAACCCGTTACCCTGGCCCCAGCTGACCTGTGGTCCAAACAGGCAATGAAACTAGCTCTTTCAAAGACCTCCAGGAACAACTTCCAATGGGCAAAATACTGAATGATGCTGGAAACATCAAAAGAAGATGAAAGGATACAGTCAACCGATCTTTGACAAAGGGCCAAAATACATTAAATGGGAAAGAGCTAGTCTCTTCAAGAAATGGTGCTGGCAAAACTGGAAATCAACTGGCAAAAATTAATTCAACATGGATTAAAAACCTCAATGTAAATCCCAGAACTATAAAGATCATCAATGAAAACATAGGGCCAAACTTAAGGACTCTAATACATGGCACACATAGACTATTAAACATCGCAAAATACATACAAACAATAGAAGACAAAAAGGATGACTGGGACATACTAAAAATTAGAAACTTAAGTGCATCAGAAGATTTCACCAAAAGAGTGAAAAGGGAGCCCACAGACTAGGAAAAATTTTACCTAATGAGATATCAGACAAGAAATTACAATACTGCTATAAGAAAAAGACAAAAAATCTAATTCAAAATGGGCACAGGACATGAACAGGCACTTCACCAAGGAAGACAGTCAGGCAGTCAACAATTATATGAAGAAATGTTCTCATCCATTAGCCATTACAGAGATGCAAATCAAAACAACAATGAAATATCATCTCATATCAGCATTAACAGCGAAGTTCAAACAACAGAAGACTACAAATGCTGGCAAAGGTGTGGCAAAACTGGAACCCTCATACAGTGCTGATGGGGCTGTAAAATGGTTCAACTACTCTGGAAAACAGTATGGCACTTCCTCAGAAAGTTGGGCATAGAAATACCTTATGATCCAGCAATTCCTCTATTGGTATAAATCCACAAGAATTAAGAATTCAGAACACAAGTAGATACATGCACCAATGTTCACTGTAGCTCTATTCACAATAGCAAAAAGATGGAGACAGCCTAAGTGCCCAACAAAGGACGAATGGATAAACCAACTTTGGTACATACACACAATAGAATACTATGCTACCTAGAAGAAAAATGATGAAGGTGCAAAACATCTCATAAGATGTTTTGAGGACATTATGCTGCGTGAAATTAGCCAGTCACATTATTGTAAAAGCTTAAGAAAAAGATTTACAATGTAAAACAAAAATTATTTGATGATTACCAAGGGGTGGGAGGGAGGGGTCAGTAGTTCATAGGTTAGGGGGTAGACACATGATAATGGGAAGGGCAGCACACAAGAAGGGGGAGGGGAGTAGATGAACAAGGAAGATAAGGGAAGACTATCTTCATGGCTAAATGTTGTTGTTGTTGTTATGTGCCGTGGAGTTGGTTTCGACTTATAGCGACCCTGTACAGGGTTTCTGAGGCTGAAACAGGAGGAGAAAGCCTCATCTTTCTCCCGTGGAACAGCTGGTAGTTTCGAACTGCTGACCTTGCGGTTAACAGCCCGATTTGTAACCAATGGGATAGAGTTAATAGTGATGTATACACAATCTTGGAACAACAGGGCTCTGTGATGCAGGGATCCAGATATATATAGTCAGATTGGATGAAGGAGGGGAAATAATGTTAAGGGGCTTGACTGTCTTGTGGATATTGGTTTCTCCTACCTTCTACTGTAAAACATACATTTAAATGTGAAAAGGAATAAAGGGAATTATGATTATAGAAAGCTTGTAAACCTGTCTCCAGCCTGGATTAGGTAAAAGGGGAATTAGAATATGCACAGGGAAACAGACTTCTTGTTAAGCCTTTGTGGAGTGTGGAGTCCACAAAGGTAGAACTCTGAGTCCCACCCAGACCTTCTGAGGTGGGACATTCCCACTTGAAAAGACATGCAGACCAACCCGGAATGGCTAGAGGAACAGAAGATATTTCTCGAGAGAAAGACCAGCAGATAAAAAGCAGACTGTTGGACTGTTAAATATCAAGCAAGCTGTTTGCCTTGGAGCCATCAAGGGCAGAGAAGTCAGTCCATTGGGTCTTCTAAGACTGAAACTCAAAGGGAACACATGAAGTCCTGTATGCTTGCTAGTGACCGCCCTGGTCTAAATGTTAGTGGAAGTGGGGAAATGCAGCAATGAAGACATGGGCTGAGTTTGGCTATGGTCCATAGATACCCATTGATCTTGAAATTAGAGAAGAGGAAGAGCTGCCTAGTCTAAATTTTAGGGAGCCATGTGAACTCCTAAGCCCATGGACACTGACCTACCCATCGTAGGGCTAGAGCTCAGTCTGATACAGGGAGAAAGCAGCCAACTGGTTAGAAGTGGGGAGAGGCATTCAAGAACTCCCCAACTTGACCTAGCTTGGATGGCTAGCTGACTAGACTTGACCAGATGAAGATAAAGAAGTCTGATAGAGGGAGCAAGGCGTAATTTGCTACAATTTGATGAATTGGACCTTTGCTTATAGATGTAGCTACTCAAAATTCCAAATGTAAGGAAAGAATTCTTCTTATCAAAGATCAAACTT